CAGGGTAGGTATAAAATCACCCACACACGCACACGCACTACACACTACACACGCAGTACCCAACACAAGCGGTATAATATTAACCGGAAGTATGAGGAACTCACGCGAGTACTGCATGTACCAGAGAGAGAGATGGTAACTCAGGGGGGCTCACTTTTGGGTGACCACCACAGCGGAAATATAGCGGATAGATTAGCTGTAATCGAACTTATAGTAGGGGGCACAACTAGCAATAGGGGGGGGGCACAACTAACAGTAAGGGGGGGCACAGCTAGTAGGAGGGGGGCACAGCTAGCAGTAAGGGGGGGGGCACAGCTAGCAGTAAGGGGGGGTACAGCTAACAGTAAGGGGGGGCACAGCTAATAGGAGGGGGGCACAACTAGCAGTAAGGGGGGGCACAGCTAGCAGTAAGGGGGGGGGGCACAGCTAGCAGTAAGGGGGGGGGGCACAGCTAGCAGTAAGGGGGGGGCACAGTTAGCAGTAAGGGGGGGGCACAGCTAATAGGAGGGGGGGCACAACTAGCAGTAATGGGGGGGGGGGCACAGCTAGCAGTAAGGGGGGGGGGGGCACAGCTAGTAGTAGGGGGGCACAGCTAGCAGGAGGGGGAGGGACAACTCTCTGTGTAAAGGGAGGGATGCAAACATCTGAATCAGAGCAAGACTTTGGGTATAATATCATGGCAGAATAAAGCAGATATTGTAGAGAAATAAGCTTACAATCATAAGTGGTCACTCTCCACACCTACCTTACCTTTGTTACCATGGTTACTATGCACTACCTTTGATCTGCTTCGTCGAAACTCGACAGCAATCAGAGTTGCTGACCACCCCAGAGAGCAGATGCCTCTCGATCGTTACGCCAGTCCAGTATAGAATTGGAGTTCGGTGAAGCCCCGGATTGGCGGTTTATCCGGCAAGGAAAGCATGAACGCCGTCCTATGATGCTTGAAGCCATCATGCTTGGAGACTGCACGTATGTGCCAAGGTATACAGTTCCAGAGTCTGGGACCCATTACACCAAATGATGTTTCATATAGAGTCTGGTGAGCAGCTGAGCTTTTACACACAAGATCAAGAATATGATAAGCAACAATTCTTAAACAGTCAGTTACAGCGAATCTCTATCCTTACTGTGGCTATAAGAACCATACAACTATTATCATATGGATATCAATTAATTAAGGCTCTTGAAGAAGAGCTGCAGTACAGCAGTATACGTAGTGTAGTAGTATGGTACCACACAGTATACGTCTATCTGTTGAAGAAGAGCTGCAGTACAGTATGGTAGTGTAGTAGTATGGTACCACACAGTATACGTCTATCCCCAGGCTAGCTGTATATTTAACTAAACTCTATGCAGTACAGCAGTATACGTCTATCCCCAGGCTAGCTGTATATTTAACTAAACTCTATGCGGCGGACAAGGTCGGTACTGGTGATGTGATGATATACATTTCCATGAGTAACAGCCATTATATCAGCTTTGTTCGAGGAAGATGGGCGTCTCTGAGCGTCCATATTTCTATACTACTGCTCTCTCACTTATATCTCCAGTCCTGTAATCTCACTTCTCAGCTAGGTTACAAGTGATTGTGAGAAGCTACAGGAAAACTTTATTATCATGTGGCTCGAACTGAACATTCGTTTGTAGTCAACAAAATAAAAACGAAATCTTCTTTTACTCTATTAGATAGGATGACTATGTTCACATAATAAACGCGGCTGGTATCACGAAGAGACGGTTTAGAACTAACTGCAGACAACACAGTACATGAGTCCTGGTCTAGTTCAATACCCGGTAACAATGCTAACCGTTCAATAAACATGCGGCCCACTGCAAGTTAGAGCATGTTTTCCTAGGGTGGAGGAGACAACTCAACAGCAGAGCACATTGTTTCTCGCTTTGTTATTACCTTAAACGATCAGCTAGTTTGAAGTGATTTGAATAAGAGAAAGAGCTTAACATTAGCTTTAACTTTGTTCAAGAGGTACTCTTACCTATCTGCTACCAGTCAAGTAGCGACACATTATTAGTATTCAACTCTCAAGGTTAGTTATTATGTAATATATGGTTAACATCTAGAGAATACCTTGAGGGGGGTTGCAGGAGGTGTTGTCTCCGGGGTCCTATATAAAAGGTTTCTTACTCATTCGGAGGTTATAAACCACTAACCTGGACAGAGATGCTAAAATCACGCTCTCGCCACATTCCAAATCTAACTAAAAACAGAACCAGACACACTAATGGCTGGTACTCCCCGCTCTCCGTGGAAAAGAAGCTTAAAATCTTACAATACCATTAAAACTTTCAACCCGGAGAATGACCTCATTGCAGAACACGTTATCAGCAAGAGGTTCCTGTACCGATCTCTCTTGTAATCACGTGATCACTAACCTACAGGGTCACGTGATGGATACTGGCCCTGTTAATGTCTTAGTTCAGTTCCTCAACTCCAGGATCTGTTATATATAATACGGTGAAGCTATTATAAGTGAAGTGACAGATTAAAATTCTATTATAAGCCCTTATTCCTGAAAGCAGGGAGAGGTTCCAGAAGCTGCAATTCCTACTCTCTTAGTGTAATAACACTGCAGCTGACTTAAAATGGATCTCTTTAATAAACTACAATTTCCTACATTACGACAGTTAAACATCAGCCCACAATTATACACTTACACCAAAAGAAAACCAAACAACCGTTCAGTTAATTTCTAGGTATTCTGCGGAAAGCCCTAGATAACCCACCCTTATTGTTATTATATGTGGTGTAAAACACAATTATATCTGCTCAAATTTAAGTTCTTTTAGAGGGTACCTTTCAATGATATTTCATTAAATTCCTCTTTGCACATAATTTCACGGTGTGATGAGACGTGGACAAGAGTCTAAATAAAATCCTAATACCTTGAGTAGGTTTGCTCGTTCATTATTAGATTTACAAAAGAATGCCAGGTTATGACTTGAAGGGACGGTTAACGTTGTAACCTGCCGGTTAACGTTGTAACCTGCCGGTTAACGTTGTAACCTGCCGGTTAACGTTGTAACCTGCCGGTTAACGTTGTAACCTGCCGGTTAACGTTGTAACCTGCCGGTTAACGTTGTAACCTGCCGGTTAACGTTGTAACCTGCCGGTTAACGTTGTAACCTGCCGGTTAACGTTGTAACCGGTTGATCCTAGACATGTGAACACTCCTTACTCCTTAAAGTAATGGCATTGTGAGGGTGTTATAATAGCCCTCCATAACGTGAGAAGGTTACTAACGTTAATAGGTCAGGAAGATAATGGTTACTTCCTGTAGTTACATGGAGGTAGTTAGTGTGAAGTAGCGGTGTTGAGTGGGAGGATCCTGGAACTATTGGAGGATACTGTGTAACAACACTACAAATCTATTACATTTATTGAGGACGTTGCAGATGGAGGAGTCCTAACTCTCCTCACGTCCGAAAATGGCGTTTCTCTTGTAGCAAATATAAAGGAGTTTACATTAAGTAAAGGAGACGCAATTTAAAAAAATAAAGGAGTCGACTTCAGATTTAAGAGCCAAATTCCTATAGAAGTCAACATTAGATAACGAACTCAAAGTATAAAGAAAACTGAATCATTAGTCAAGTGAACAATTTAAAGACGTTGAGTGAAGAGATAATTAGACTTGAAATGTAATAAACAAAGAATATGTTTTGAAAGAAAGGATATTTAATGGTAAGTAACACAGAGATGTACAACTACAAGTGTAGTGACAATATACTGAGAGGTTTTACAGGTAAGATATAGTAGCCATTATCTGAAATACAATCTGCAAAGTTAGAAGAAGTAAAGAACTATAAACAGTACATTAAGGGTCTCAAGACAAGTTAATTAAACTACTGATCAGATGGCCCCCACAATTAGTAACCTCAGGGGCCTACACAGTACGACACTGTAATTATAGTGTTATATTTACTATACATACTGAGCTGTGGTGCTTAATCTAATTAAATACAGCAAGATAGCAGCTGTAGACAGAGTACAATGTGTATACACACGTTTACAATCATTTAATATCCATCACTTAGTAGAACAGAGGAACACAAGGTTTTACTGTGCGGCTAAAACATAAAAGCATCAGCTTCTTTTGTATAAATAAAATTAACAGAGTTTTACCCCCATAATAATATGAGCATTGAGCAACAATTAAAAACAGTGATATATAAGCAGCTGTTACAACTATACACTGAGTGTACTTATAAAATATACACATAACATAACAGTCATGCTCATATATACTACACACATTACAAACTGTACACAGAAATCAAAAGTCAAAAACGAAATGTAGGCTGTAGCCAGAACAAATATCCAATGTACACATTACTATACAACAAAAATATACAGTCAAACTGTACACATGAACAGTGCCACTCTCATAAAACCAAGGAAACCACACTTGTACCCCCATCAGAAGGAGGAGTGAATATAACCAGCACACTACACGACTAAAAGAACACACTAACTCGAGGCAGCCATACAATGCACTCAACAAACCCACCTGGAATGAGGAAGATGGCAATTGTCCGGTTGATATTGCGGAAGGCGCTGTGTTTACACCAGACATTGCCCGTGTGAGAACCATGAGAATTGGGAGAGATGGGGGGACGTTAAGTGTGAGAACCATGAGAATTGGGAGAGATGGGGGGACGTTAAGTGTGAGAACCATGAGAATTGGGAGAGATGGGGGACGTTAAGTGTGAGAACCATGAGAATTGGGAGAGATGGGGGGACGTTAAGTGTGAGAACCATGAGAATTGGGAGAGATGGGGGACGTTAAGTGTGAGAACCATGAGAATTGGGAGAGATGGGGGGACGTTAAGTGTGAGAACCATGAGAATTGGGAGAGATGGGGGGACGTTAAGTGTGAGAACCATGAGAATTGGGAGAGATGGGGGGACGTTAAGTGTGAGAACCATGAGAATTGGGAGAGATGGGGGGACGTTAAGTGTGAGAACCATGAGAATTGGGAGAGATGGGGGACGTTAAGTGTGAGAACCATGAGAATTGGGAGAGATGGGGGGACGTTAAGTGTGAGAACCATGAGAATTGGGAGAGATGGGGGGACGTTAAGTGTGAGAACCATGAGAATTGGGAGAGATGGGGGGACGTTAAGTGTGAGAACCATGAGAATTGGGAGAGATGGGGGGACGTTAAGTGTGAGAACCATGAGAATTGGGAGAGATGGGGGGACGTTAAGTGTGAGAACCATGAGAATTGGGAGAGATGGGGGGACGTTAAGTGTGAGAACCATGAGAATTGGGAGAGATGGGGGGACGTTAAGTGTGAGAACCATGAGAATTGGGAGAGATGGGGGGACGTTAAGTGTGAGAACCATGAGAATTGGGAGAGATGGGGGGACGTTAAGTGTGAGAACCATGAGAATTGGGAGAGATGGGGGGACGTTAAGTGTGAGAACCATGAGAATTGGGAGAGATGGGGGGACGTTAAGTGTGAGAACCATGAGAATTGGGAGAGATGGGGGACGTTAAGTGTGAGAACCATGAGAATTGGGAGAGATTGGGGACGTTAAGTCATGTCTATTAAAAGAAAGCAGTGTATCGAGCTAATGTAGATATAATAGAGATGAGATATGGATGTTGGTACGAAGGACTAGCTGACACTTGACAACGTGCTGAACCGACAGTTAGTACATTCAAACAAATTAGCCGCAACAAAATAATTATCATAATGGTGAGCGACCATCAATAAGAGAGCGTGGCATATACTCCCCAACACACACACAACACGGCCATGTCAAAGATCTCTCGACTGCACAACGCAGCTATCAAATAAAAGCCAAGGTCGGATTACAACCGAGCCGTTAGGTTGAGAAAATTCCAGTCTCCCGTCGCTGAGACGCCAGGGTGGGGCGACACGTGACGACTGCTCGGCCAATCGCAGTGCAGTAGCCATGGTAACGTGATCGGGCGCTGCCAATCAAAATACGGAAACGGCACAAAGGTGGATGGTAGGGGGTTAAAATGCGATGGGCGATCACAAAGTGAAATAAGTGATAGTCAACTAGGCGCCACATTAATTACACAACACACACATATACTGCGGAGAGAGAGCGCAGAGAGAGAGCAGCAACAATATAAAAGAAGGAGAGCCAGTGCCGTAAATGGACATCCGCTTAGATCATAGGCCGTACCTTATAAGGGCAGGCTCACCTAATAAGGACAAAGAAATATGTGTTTTACGCAACTCCAGCCGATTATTCCATATAAGGGAGGTCATCAGATAATGAAATAGCAAGAGGGGTCACGTGCGCGTCTCGCCTGGTCACGTGGCCTACGTCCTGCCCAGAAAAAGCGTCACGTGACTGACACGCGGCCCGCGGCCAGCTATATACTGACTCTCAACTTCCACCGTGGGAGGGAGTGTGCTGTAGAGTGGCGGGCCCTGCACCCGCGGCCCAGCTGATCAACAATTTGGGGATCCCGCTAATTATTATACCGCCTTGTCCTGATTACGGGTTAATGACAGTCGGGCTGGAGCCCCGTTGCATATTTTACCTGAGTTATGCTAAATATGCGCTATCGTGAGCCCAGATAGGGGTAGAGTTTGGTGCTATGTTTTCCGGCTCTCCCGCACCTGATGCCCTGAGTGTAACCAGCTGCACTACATTTTATACAATAACACACAAACTTTACCATATCGGTTAAAATTAAACTGAAACAGTGTTGCTTTGTTGTATGTGATTTTTTATGGAGAATTTCAGTAAAATGTCACGTACTAGGTTACATGACACGAGAAGGAAAATATGTGACGAAACTTGGAACTATGATCACAAAAACATCTTTTAATTTTTGATCGGTTAGGTTTTGATCGTCTGAACACTGAAATAAAGTGTGGTCCACTTCTCACTCACAGTATATCCTTTGAAATTGAATGTGATCATAACTCCACTCAGATACCAGGGATAACAGCTACAAGCCACAGTAAACACAAGCAACAAGGACTACTGATGAGTCACTCATTATAGCTCGCCCACCTACTAATCACTGTATATATTAGAAGGTCTAGAAGGTTTAATTAGATCACCTGTTATACGTCTACACAGGTTAATTAGATCAATTACCAACCAATTACTTATCAAATATTTAAAAATTATAAGCTGCTTAATACGCCCCAAAAATAAGGTAATTACAGCAAACTGTACTTGAACACTACCCAGTCAAAATTGAGACCACATTTTAGTCCTTACTTTTAAGTCAATAACTCCCGTTGTACAAAACAGTACAGAACATGAACTTTAAGATCTTCTAATAAAGTACTTCTGAGTGGAGTTGGGTTAAAAACATATAAGAGATACGATGATTTAACTTGTAGAAGCTTTCAATAAACATGTGTTAATCGTCGTCAGCTAATAAAGTACTTGTTTTACTTTCACTTAGACAGCTAAATGAGTTGTCAACTTGTCTCTTATGGAGGTGTCTTAAAAACCCCTAATTTTGAAAAGGATTGAATTAATGTTATCTATATACTAGTGTAACCCTGTACTGTTTTAATGTTAAAACATATTGATAGTCTTCAGGATCTTCCAACCCACTAGCTCCATTACATGAATATAATATGTACACTGCACACTGCACACTGCACACTGTACACTGTACAGTGTACAGTGTGCAGTGTGCAGTGTACAGTGTACAGTGTACAGTGTACAGTGTGCAGTGTGCAGTGTGCAGTGTACAGTGTGCAGTGTACAGTGTACAGTGTGCAGTGTACAGTGTACAGTGTGCAGTGTGCAGTGTACAGTGTGCAGTGTACAGTGTAGAGCTACTCGTTCTTATCTACGTTAATTTTCAATCATTACTCGTTTACTTGTTAGATTAGACTTGTTAGACCCAAGATTAACCATAATCTCTGTGTATAGTCCAACGGAATCCGCAACTGTCGAAGAAGCCGAAGAGTTTCACGACTGCTTGAGAGCAGCAGTAAGGGATGTCCCCTCTCATCATCTACTACTTGTAATAGGAGATCTTAATGCTCACCTCAGCAAGTTGAATGGTGTATCTCTCTTTAATCAATGAAGATCGTCCACAGTTTTTAAACAAAAAACAAAAATAAATACAAGTTTTGATAAAGATAGCTCATTAGCCGCCCTAGTGAATATACTTCAGTACACGGTACTATTATTCACAACAGCATTGAGTTTAACCTCCCCCTGTACATAAATTTTGTTGACTTTAAAGCTGCATTCGATTCACTTAATCGGGAGTTTATCTGGAAAGCTTTCAGTCATTATGGCTTGCCTTGTAAATACATTCGCATAATGCAAGCATTCTTTTGCGGCACCGTCAGCGCTGTCAGACATAATGGTGAGCTCTCAGATTGGTTTGACGTTACATCTGGTTCTGGGCAGGGGGATATTCAGGGTCCACCTATCTTTAATGTTTGCATCAACCTGCCTGCGCAGCGGGCTGAGGATAACAAAGTGTTGTCACACGGGGCAGTGCTGCAGAGAGCTACCACCAGCTTTGGTCAGGATACAGTCGTCTTGGATACTGACTATGCAGATGATTTGGCTATCATGGACAACACCAAGGACGGTCTCCAGGAGACGACTGATCTTTTATGCAAGTATGCGGCTCAGGCTGGCCTCAGAATCAATGCGAAGAAAACAGAGGTTATGGCCATCGGCAAGAATACATCACAGAGGCCGTATACTGAAGCATCAACGGTGGACATTACAGTAGGAGACACGGCTATCCAGCAAATCAGCAACTTCACTTACCTTGGGTCGATTATATCAAGTGATGGGACTATTGACCGGGACTTGTCTGCACGGATCCAGAAAGCCTCAGGCTCAGGAGCATTCAATCAGCTCGGTAATATTTGGAAGAATCGCAATATCCAAACTAACACCAAAATACGGATATATGTTGCAGCGGTTCTAACAATATTACTTTATGGAAGCGAAGTCTGGAACACTACTTCAAAGCAACTACATCGCTTCGAAGTTTTCCATCAAAACTGTTTGAGGAGAATCCTTCGAATTAAGTGGTTCCACCGGACGAGCAATTTTCAAGTGTTGGAGCGGGCAAGAATAAACCCGGTTATAACCTACATCAGTGCCAACCGTCTTCGCTGGTTTGGACATGTTTCTAGAATGCCGGACACCAGGCTACCAAAGTATCTACTTGACTGGACACCTGCTCACGGCCGAAGATCACGTGGGCGGCCAAGAAAGAATTGGCGAACCTGTGTCCTGGAAGACGCAGTAACATTTACAGGAGATCCAGACATTGTATTTGTATTTGATAAGGTCCGAGAATTGGCAGGAAATCGCAAGCACTGGAGAGAGATGATACGACATAAGCAGCAATTCCTTGGTGCAGGCCACTCGAATGATTGAGGAAACCTTACCAAGTATCAAGTAAGTACACGGCATGATGGAGAAGAGAAGAGTATAATTGTAAATTACCACAGTCAGCCCAGCCCTCACCAACGCTCGAAAACTTTGAACTATGTACGCTACTTTTCCTTAGAAACGTTTATCATGTTCTCAAATCTCAGGTAGATTTAGGAGTGGTCAGTGGTATATAAGAAGTTTCTAGAGTACTGTATCTAGAGCGAGTAAAAAGACATTAGCAATCAGACCGAGAGGGAACCACGGTTGGGTATTTCTGGAGATCCTACATCCTGAATTCTGTAGAAGTTAACACATACAAATAAACTCTGAAAACAAGAACAGAAGATTAGAAAATAAACGTTCTCATTTGTAGGACATGTAGGTATAATGTGGAGACACTGAATGAAAGGAGACACTAGAGAGAAGTAAAGTTAATATAAGTTAAGTTTAACGGGCGATACTCGTTAAATATTTGTTCCAAATATTAGAAGACCGTCGACGAGTCCAACTCGGCGCGCGTCTTGGTAGGTTATTATAAACCTACGTCCTACAAGAGTTAAGACTTAAGATGCAATGAAAAGAGACACTAGAGAAGTAGAGTTTGGAGGCGATGAAAGGCATTGTTTCAGACATCAGAACAACACGAACTCCACACTGTCGTGATTGAAGGACCGCTTGTTGTTTGAATAACCACACTTGAAGCAGACTGTCTATAGAGGTGATGTTATTACCCATTAATTACACGCTCAATACACACTAATTGCGTTGTTTCCGTACAGCGCATCTGCAATTTGCCAATAATAAATATTACCATCAAAGCCCTCTTTACCATTTTCCTATTGACTGGGTTCCCTCCATACAATCCAATGAACAACTATTCGATCCACAAGAATTTGTCGAAATGTCCCATTTAATTTTCTAACCGTATCTTTTGAAATTTTACAGTGTTTTCTAACAAAATAATAGACAAAAAGTTTCAGTAATACTAATAACTTGAAAACGCTGTACATATACAATATTTTACATTTTACAATTAAAATTGTGAGTAAAACCCGATTGAAACACGCTCATACAATTTCATTTTTACAGTCATAAATTACTACGTTCAATTTCTGAACTAGTCATTACCAATGTCCAAACCTCCGTAAGAATAATTCAATCAATGAAGAACTAGGGAAACATGGAGGGGAAGGGGGTGAGCGAAGTTAAACTTAAAATATATTATTTCTATATAATTGAGCGAAGTTAAAATCGACGGGTCCCCTCCAGAATTAATTTTCAGTTAAGTCTGTGTTGTCTTTAAATTCAAGTAAATTTAATTTCTCCTCGTACTTTCATACGAATAAGATTGACGAAGAAAATCTAGAACTATCTAACAGCTAAATTATGGCGGGAGGGGGGCTAAAGTCCAACATTAAGCAAGCCTGGTTCTTAACACGTTTTAGAATTATCAGGTTATCCTGAGATCACTGTATTGCACTGTCAATGCAAAACACCTATAGTCTATAATTTTAACAATCAGCATTCGAACAAAAACGTTTTACGTAAATAATCAGTTATCATCACAGAAAAATTATAAGGGAATATCTCAAAATCAATAGCGCCGCAGAAAACAAATCCACTACAAAATTTCGAGAATAACAGCTTAAGTTAACAATAAATTACTGCACATTTTCTGAATCACAGAATCTCTGATCTGCGGGTGAGGGATAAAATATTTACATAATATATTAACATTTCATAAATATACATGTTTATGGACATTGAACACCATACAATTATTATAAACACCTGTAAACCTTGTAAAGAGTTAAGTCTGTTATTCATGAAACTTCATGTTACGAAATTAACCGGACTAAAAGCCAGTACGTTTAGGGGTCACGCCTAGTAATCCTCGCGCTGAAGGGTACAATTCTTCTTCTCTCTTCCTCGATTTGGAGTAGATCTGATTATCGGAAGATTTGGACATCATGTTGTCAGTTCGAGAAGATTTCTTCTTCTTGCGCCTTTCTCCTGAAGTTGAGTTGTTGATATATTATTATTGTCTTAATAATTAATAAGAATAATGAGGTCTGATCGTCATCTTCTTACAGCGTTCGATGTCTGTGTGAAGGTAAAATGGTGATATCCTCTGGATCAGGCAGAGGTCGAGTGTTATCGGGATTATTTCTTTAGTAGTGGAACAGCAATCCCATTACCTTAGTATTGCTGTTCCACTACTAAAAAAATTAATAAGAATACTTATTTTGAGTATTATCTATTTTAAGGGGCTCAATATTTCTTTCTTTTTTAATTTAAAAAAAAAACTAATATCATGATTTGTATGCACACTATGGTATACTATACTATTTGTATGGTTTAAAGTTTATAATCTAAACAGTAAACATCCCACTCCTCACGTTTGTTGAGTTTAGCCGCGTCCACTACCAGTTCCTCTTCATCTTCCAGAGCAGCTTCCAGTGCTGCTTTAATGTGAGGTGCTACTGTGGGGCCTTCATAGTCACGTGTAGTCCTGAAATATACTATATACAGTCGGGAAATAGTTTACTGGTCAGTCGGGGAATAGTTTACTGTTCAGTCAGGAAATAGTTTAGTGCACTGGTCAGTCGGGGAGAGATGTTTCTAATAAAATAGATATTATGTTGTCTTCAAAACACACCTGTTCTCTGATCTACTGTTAACTATAACTACACTGTATGGACACCCACTAGTACGATCAATAAATCTCTTTGCAAAACGATTAACTCGACAGAAGCAACCGCTACTAACTTACTTAAAAAAATCAGCGCCTCTCTGCAAGAAAGAGTGCATATTTCATTCCTAAAATGGGCATTGGGAGTCCATCGTAAAGCATCAAATGTAGGTGTTTGGGGAGAAACAGGAAGAATTCCTCTGATTTATCAATCAATTCGCTTAACGTTAAATTACTTCAAAAGGCTAAATACAAAATCAAAGTCGAATTCGTTTGTCACTGCAGCCGTAAAAGAACAAAAATCACTAAACTTACCTTGGTATCGATACATAAAACCACTCCTTGAACTAGATGAAATTTACAAACTAGATCACGTAACTGCGCACCGAATTCTCAATACAAATGCAGCTAACAAAGCCGCGCCCAACCCTGTAAGTGATCACAAATTATTAAAAGACTCCCTCATAAATCAGTCAAATTCTAGTCAATCCACCAAACCACTATGCAGCAAAAAGTATAAAATTCCTAAAATCATCGAAGCTCTAACCAATCAATTCAAAAAATGTTGGCAATACCAAAAATCTACTTCTTCTAAACTCTCATTCTATCACTCAATCAAACACACCTTCAACCGAGAGCCCTACTTATACTTATGCAAAGGCTTTTCTCGTCGTTACAGCACCACAAAACTTAGAATCAGCGCCCATGATCTCCATATTGAAAGAGGCAGACACTCCAACACACCCCGTGAGCAAAGACTATGTGGTTGGTGCCAATCAAGTATGGGCGTTGAGACCATCGAAGACGAGTCGCATGTTCTTTACATATGTGACTTGTATTCAAAACAGAGGTCGAAATTAGTCAAAAATCTTTCTCAAATGCCAATCATTGAAATAAGCAATGAAATCACCGACTCCAGCAATATCAATGAAACAAATCTCAAAGATCATCTCATGGAAATTTTGTCTCCTTACTCAACTGTAATTCCTCAAAATCACCAGAGCCTCCATATTCACTGCCACCGCTCACTTGATATTCAACCAAACACCCCACAGTATATTCAATTTCAAGAAAGGCGCTCCTATGCTGTCAACTGTGTGTGCACTTATTTCCTTCGCTGCTCCGAAGAGCGAAATAGCTTCACCGAAGATATGCGTCAGCGTAATTCAAATGCACGAAACTTAAACAATTTTACTATCAATTTGGTGAGAACCTCGCGAATTAGTCATAATTAAGATTTAAGGATAACCCTGGCCTTGACTTCAAGCAAAGATGATTGTTTTCATTAATCTCTGTACAATTATGACGGTCCATGATAATGGATCTATAATTTAATTTTAATCCTGTGTAATCCTGTGTAATCCTGTGTAATCCTGTGTAATCCTGTGTAATCCTGTGTAATCCTGTCAGTGGATATACTATATACAGCTACTGTGGGTCAAGCCCGTGTAATTATTTAACAAATATAAGTACCGAGAGGGAAGATCGAGGTCCACCATTAAGATATTTTGGTGTTTGTATCTGAGGAATACCACAGGTTTCTCCGATGCATGTGCCGTCAACATTTGCACCTTCCCTACCTGCCGATCAAAATATTTTAACGTATTTGATATTGAAATAGAACATTTTATAAGTATTTAATGTTAAAATATTACATTCTAACGTATTTAATATTTTAATAGAATATTTTACAACTATTTGATGTTGAAATAGACATTTTATGAGTTATTTTGAGCCCGAAGTGAGGTAACTCCTATAAACTAATGTTACCTGGCAGGTGGCATGTCGTTGTGAAGGGATTGCTGATAGTGGCCTCTTTACCATCTCTTTCAACTGAGATACAGTACTAAAGTTAGTCAAGAACTTCCAATTAAAAAAAATACACATTGTTAAAATTTATACTACTTAATTTGTTTGGGTACATAAATAAATAAAGGTCCGAATGATAAAGTGAATTAGCGAATGACCAATTGGCACCAGGTCTAGACTCTAGATTCTCCTTGAATCTTGTTCGGGCACATTGAAGGGTTGCCACTTCAAGGTTGCCCCGTCAACGTGGCACAAAAGCCATAGTCTAACCTCTGAACATCTATTCCCAACGCTCAGTTATGAAAACTCCTTTTGAGTAAACGCAGCGAAGCCATGTTACTCTCCAAAAGTGAACAACATTACTGGTCTAAACTGAGTTACAACAAAGCAGCTCTAATAACGCGCACTGTAACTTTAATGCGTCACATTGTTCTGGTGAAATGGTGTCCACACACTTTTCTTCCGAAATTCCCAGTTTTCGATGACCTTAACGTAGATAAAAGTGATAAAAGCCTTTTTTTATTTTTTAAGACAACAAAATAAAGTGGGGCAGCAACAAATTAAGCGAGGGATGGCACCATTTAACCTGACCACTGAGTATCTCACAAATCGCTCGAGTTTGGCTGGATGCACAAGAGTGATGAGCAAGAGTCATTCGCACATCTCAGTGAAAATATCACCTCTGATGATATTTTCCTCCTCGACTCCAGGGTTTCATGTAGCCGTAAATGAAGACCGTGCGCGCACCGCCGCGCAAGAACAAGCTGCTAAATTTTGCACTTTAAATCACAGATTGTTTTTGCGCGCTACAAAGACGCTATATTCATACGTGACCAGCACAAAAATAGCGTTTAAAGCAATTGCGAGTTGACTCTTAATATAACTGTTAACTTAACGAAACTTTTGTTTAAAAGCAAAAAATTATTCATTTCAGAGAGACTCACTTCTTCGCTCTCATAGCGACAAATCTTCCAATTGTTAGTGAGATCATCCCATTGAGTCCGCTTGTAGAACATTTCCTGAAGATAAACGTTAATTTATGAAAATGTTTTCGAATTTGACGATATAAACATTGGTCTGGCTATTTAAATTGTAATTAACTAATGAGGAAATTAACCTGGTCACAAGGGGGGATGAAGTTGTTGATAATGAGTTGCTTAGTAACCAAATGTCGCTGCAAATCATGCATCGTCTGAGTTAGGTCTTCTATTTCTTGCCGATGTGCCTCCTGCGAATTGAGAGTACTGAAATTTACTCACCATATCAAATTTATTTTGCTCTGTTAACTGAAGGGGATTAAAATAATTGGACTACAATTTAAGTAGAGTAAAAGTTAGACCCCCCTCCTCTCACACCTACTTGTAAATCTTTGATTTCCTGCTCCGCGTTCTGGAGTTTGTGGAATAGCTTCGTCAGTTTCTTCGTCTTAGACGACACCTCAGACTGAAAGACGGTGTTTTTTAGCATATTTAACTTATTAATCAATTGTACAATTAGGTTTAGGGTCAAATGTCAAGGTTAGGCTTAGGGTTAGGATTAGGGTTAGGGTTAGGGTTAGGGTTAGGGTTAGGGTTAGGGTTAGGGTTAGGGTTAGGGACTTACTACATACTTAGCAAATGCAATTAACAATATCCTTATGGATCATAAAAATTGAGGTTGGAACTGTTATCGAAGAGAAAGTGAATGACTCTATCCAAAAACCTGTAAATTATTGAATGTTTCCTTTGCTTCTTGTGCTTTTTCTTCCTTTGCTTTTAATGCATTTCTCATCTCATCTGCTCTCTGCTTCTCTTCCGCAATTTTCCTTTAACAAGTTAAATCTTAAGTCTGCACGATAGTTCTATTAATTTGATAGAAATCCCATTTGGAAAATTAAAATACTGAACTTCTGAATTGTTGTTGTCTGAATCTGTAAAACACTTCTCTAAAAGTACAAACCTTTGTTTTTCTTGCAGCTCTTTTTCCATGATAGCAGTTTTCTGGATAACATCACCACCATTTATAAGTTTACTTTCCATTGACTGCAGCTTCAGTTTTAGTGCATCCCTTGCTTCCGCCTGGGTTAGGTTATGTTATCTCCCTAATGGGATCATATACAACTTTTAAACAGTCTAAGCTAATAAAGTGAACTTTTGCTACCAATCAGCTAATTATATTTCATATTTGATAATACACTCTCACTGCAGTTCCCAATCAGCTAACTAATTAACCAGCTAATTAATCAGCTAATTAATTAACCTCCTCATTAAGTTGTCTAGCTCTGTAATCTAGCTCTCCCATTAAGTGTTGTTTTTCCTCCGCTATCAGTGAATGGTTCTCACTTATCTTCTTCTTCTCTTCTTCTAAGTGCTTCTGTTGTTCCTTTATATACTCTTCACGTCCCACTGTCTGAAATTAGTATACCATAAACGATTAATAGACGTGTTTAATAGTAAGGTGCAGGAAAAACTGGAATAATTATTTTTATTAAGTAAATCACGAACTGGTCCTGATTATGAATTGTCTGAACTGTACTATTTTCAAAACAGGCTAGTCCAACTTGTGTGAGGTATTTTATTACATTTATCACATATGACCCTGATATGGATCTAATACATGACTAATTACTAATGCCTAATTACACTAACCTCCTCCTCGCTAAACTCCTCCTCCTCCCCAGTATCTGACACCCTCCTCACCCTTCTCTTCACTGTACCACCACCCTGTGTCTTACTCTCCAGTATCTTTCTTAGTCGCTGTATCTCGCTCTGGAACTGGCGCAGCAGCGCGTCTTTAGGATCCTCGTTAATCTTGGGTTTGTTCTTGATGTTCTTGGCGCGGTTAGCGTATCGTAGTGTCGTGATGGTTTCGTCATAGTTGTAATCAGCAGGGCCTATATTTGCTACCATTACTGTCCTGCTGTTGCCTGGGATCGAGTTTTATAAAAATTACTAAAATGTAAAACATCAAATTGCTGGGATAGACACAAAATAGTGGCGAAATTTTCAGAAGATAACATCAAAGATGACAATAACAATCGATCAAGGAAGTCCTGGTGTAACCTCACTAATTAACATAACCTCACTAATTAACCTCACCAATTAACCTCACCAATTAACCTCACCAATTAACCTCACTAATTAACCTCACTAATTAACCTCACCAATTAACCTCACTAATTAACCTCACTAATTAACCTCACTAATTAACCTCACTAATTAACCTCACTAATTAACATAACCTCACTAATTAACCTCGCCAATTAACCTCACTAATTAACCTCACCAATTAACCTCACCAATTAACCTCACTAATTAACCTCACTAATTAACCTCACTAATTAACCTCACTAATTAACCTCACCTCCGAGAGAGTCCTGGAGTAAGCGTGTAAGTTTACTGTCCCGGTACGGAATGTGATTAGTGTTATCCTCCACCAGCGCGTGTATTACATTACCCAGTGCTGACAGGGACAGGTTTATCTTAGTAGCTTCTCGGAACCTGAACAGAGGTTTACTTATCATATCACGTGATTAAATAATTCAAACTGATCATAACAGGAGTATTAACATAGATCAGATCTGGTTTAACAAACTCCCAGCAGCAAACCTCTCCCCAGAAGCGTTAGTTTTAGACTGCCGTTCAGAGCCCGCCAGATCCACCATGTTCAACTTGCCCACCCTAATGTGGTTCTCTGTTCCCATGGTTTCACAACACTCTATTGTTGTTATGAAGATGGCATGAGAGCGTGATGAGCGCTCGTTCATATCCGTGTACGCTGTAAGTGGGGAGTAGTGTCAAGGGGAGAAAGGGTCTAACAAGTTGTTCCTTTTAGACCAAGGTTGGACCATGTATGTTATTCATGAGACTAACTACTAAGCGAGCTTTAATAAACTTACTACTTACTACTACTTACCAGTAGTAACTATGGTAACTAGTAGTGTAACTATGGTAACTAGTGGTGTAACTATGGTAACTAGTAGTGTAACTATGGTAACTAGTAGTGTAACTATGGTAACTAGTAGTGTAACTATGGTAACTAGTAGTGTAACTATGGTAACTAGTAGTGTAACTATGGTAACTAGTAGTGTAACTATGGTAACTAGTGGTGTAACTATGGTAACTAGTAGTGTAACTATGGTAACTAGTAGTGTAACTATGGTAACTAGTAGTGTAACTATGGTAACTAGTAGTGTAACTATGGTTACTAGTAGTGTAACTATTGTTACTAGTAGTGTAACTATGGTAACTAGTAGTGTAACTATGGTAACTAGTAGTGTAACTATGGTAACTAGTAGTGTGACTATGGTAACTAGTAGTGTAACTATGGTAACTAGTAGTGTAACTATGGTGACTTGTAGTGTAACTATGGTAACTAGTAGTGTAACTATGGTAACTATTAGTGAAACTATGGTAACATGTAGTGTAACTATGGTAACTAGTAGTGTAACTATGGTAACTAGTAGTGTAGCTATGGTAACTAGTAGTGTAACTATGGTAACTAGTAGTGTAACTATGGTAACTAGTAGTGTATTTATGGTAAGTTACCAGTAGCACGATTAGTATTTCCAACATTCATCACGTGTTCTATTTCTTTAACACTCTTCACCACAAAGGAGGACAAGTCTTTAACTGTCACACCACTGTCCGCTGTCTCCTTCAACTCATACCTGTGGTTAATTAACTTCTAATTATTGGCTAATTAATTAAATACATAATTGGTGTTTTAAGACGCTAGATTTTTCTTAAAGTTCTAGTTGTCATACTTCCTTTGCCGGTGTGCTAGTTACCTTTTCTTGGTATCTTTAGACAGTAGATCACGTATCTCTTCCTGATATATCTCCAGATAAGACGCCCTCACTAGATACTGGATACCTGAACACAATCTTTATTACTTGTAACTATGGTAACTAGTAGTGTAACTAGTAGTGTAACTAGTAGTGTAACTATGGTAACTAGTAGTGTAACTATGGTAACACGTATCTCTTCCTGATATATCTCCAGATAAGACGCTCTCACCAGATACTGGATACCTGAACACAAACTATATTACTTTTCTGTTTAACGTTAAAAGGATCTTTATAATCTACAATTTGTTAATTGCTAGTTAATTGTTAAACCTCTACGTGAGTATTTTACAATTTTTTGGGTAGTAAAAAGCGATGATGAATTGTAAGGAATTAGATTTTAAAAGTAACAGCACGTATGTCGTATTATATACATCTTGTTTAAAAGTAACAGCACGTATGTCGTATTATATACATCTTCTTTAAAAGTAACAGCACGTATGTCGTATTATATACATCTTCTTTAAAAGTAACAGCACGTATGTCGTATTATATACATCTTGTTTAAAAGTAACAGCACGTATGTCGTATTATATACATCTTCTTTAAAAGTAACAGCACGTATGTCGTATTATATACATCTTGTTTAAAAGTAACAGCACGTATGTCGTATTATATACATCTTGTTTAAAAGTAACAGCACGTATGTCGTATTATATACATCTTGTTTAAAAGTAACAGCACGTATGTCGTATTATATACATCTTGTTTAAAAGTAACAGCACGCATGTCGTATTATATACATCTTGTTTAAAAGTAACAGCACGTATGTCGTATTATATACATCTTCTTTAAAAGTAACAGCACGTATGTCGTATTATATACATCTTGTTTAAAAGTAACAGCACGTATGTCGTATTATATCCTCTTATCTATACATTACATCTTGTGACAAGAACAAAATTTGCCGGATACAAATTCACTGCCATCTTATAACCAACAGTGCTATTTGTTTTTGTAAATGTGGCGCCATCAATTCAAGTTGAGTATCCTAAACAGTTTAACTTAAACTAATACCCGATAAATATATTTTATTTGGTGTTATGTGAGTAGTAAAAAGGGAGATTTGTATGGTTTTAGTACCTACTAACCGTGCACAGTTTAAAAAACGGATAATTCACACAAAATGACACTAACCTTTGGTTTGGTTGATGTGTTCAAATATTTGCTGGAAGGAGTTAGGAATAACACCTCTCTGTTCCGGATCTGAAGGGGTACCTTGCATTGTGTATGTTTTACCTGTTCCTGTCTGTCCGTACGCGAATATAGTACCATTGTACCTGAAGGGTAGATTGGTGTACAATTTACTGTTAATCCGCCATACAAATAAATAATTAACTAAATTAATAACAAAACAAATATAAATCTAGATAAATAAATAACTATAAACATTGCTCACCCCTCTAAAACACTAGCTACTAGCGGTTGAAACACAGTCTTGTAAAGGTCTATCTGTCTGCTGTTCTGATCAAACACATTGTCAAATGTAAACTGTTTATCATTTCCTGGTTTAGATAGCTTCTTTACCTGAGATAAGTGTTTAATAAATTGAAATATAATAATTTAATAATTTACATGTTTAGTACTGTCATTATAATCACACTTCATAGATAGCACTGTGTGGTGACTAGTTCTGATTCATTACACCATGTGATTGCAGATAACGGTACCACAAACTTACATTATAACTTAATATTGAAAAGAGGATATTTTTCAAAGTGTGTCTCATCTGTTTCAAAGTGACCCATGGATTGGCACCAATGTACCTCCAAGAGTTGGTTCAAATGAACAGAGATGATAAGGCTGTCAAAGAAACCAGAACAAAAACAGCATGCAACCTTCTTATGAAGATACCTAAGTTCTCTAAATTGAAGGCAACTAGCAGGCGGTTCAGCAACTATGCACCTAAATCATGGAATTCTCTCCCTCTTAATGTCCGTAACATCGACAATATTGTCTCTTTTAAGGGTAAGTTAAAGAACTATTTGTATGATCAGCTATAGCCTGGTTAAGCTATTTTTTGTGGCTTCTAGTCTTTTTTTGTGTTATTTTTTGTTTTCCGAGTATCCACTTCTTGTTTTTCTGGTTTTTTATCGGTGTGTCAATAAAATCAATTATGGAATATGTATACTTTAACCATTTTTTGCGACAGTTAATCTGAGATTATCTCTTTAACATTATTTAGTATTTTTTGATTTATGAGACCCGTGTTTTGTTTTTAACTTTCTGCTCCGAGGAGGAGAGAAAGTTATTTGAGGAGAGCCGCTCAGACATGGGCACCGTATTGTGTGAATTATTTAGTTATCTTTATACAATATCTTTGTCGCATAGTAGCGGGGTAGTAAATACAGTGTTTCGTTTCGTTTCGTATAGCAATGTTACCTAGTAACGTAATAAATAACCAATCTACTTACTAGAAGTAACCAAGTATGCATGTCTAGATTTTTCTATTATGTCTAGGGGAAAAGGTGCAGGAGACCAGCTACTCCACGATCTGATACAATACAATACTACCACTACACTACACTACACTACACTACACTACACTACACTACACTACACTACACTACACTACACTACACTACACTACACTACACTACACTACACTACACTACACTACACTACACTACACTACACTACACTACACTACACTACACTACACTACACTACACTACACTACACTACACTACACTACACTACACTACACTACACTACACTACACTACACTACAATACTAATTACCCCTGAACTCACCTCAATGCACCCTCTTGTAGTGTCTATATCCACACAAGTTTTCCTCCCATCATCCACCTCTTTACGACCCAGTGGTCTACATCTCACCACTACCTTGACACTTTCAGCTGCTTTTACACTCTCTGCTGCATTCTTCTTACTTGTGGAACTTGGCATTCAGCTACAGATGGGGTCGTTATATTGTTATATGATAACATAATAACATTAGAACTGTTCTGCTTGAATTAAATATATCATATAGTTTCTGCTTGCCGATCCTCAAGATGGCAAAGGTTACCAAAATTGTGTCAGAGATATAAAATCAGAGATCAAATTTTGTAAACAAGAAACACTGCAATTGGAAGTGAGTAAAAAAGAAAGCTAGCATTCAACGTTTTAAATTTACAAAACCCTGGAATAGAATTTACAAACCTCAAATACCATACCTGCAGATAAACGATACTCCTGTATAAATTTAAAATATTACCCATCAAGGGTACACGTTCGTGATGCAGTACAAAAATAATGGCTGTTGAAACTTTTAAAACACTAGCTATTTCAAATAAAAATATTACACACAAATAAATAGGAGACATGACAAGAAAAAGATAGTAAGTGTGTAAAATTACCACAGTGAAACTTCCAATTGAAGCGCTAAACCCTACTGGAATTATTCAGATAACAATAATTTAGCAACTGTTTACAACAAGGGAACACGTGACCTACAAAAGTAGAAGCACGTGACCCAGGAGCACGTGACCCAGGAGCACGTGACCCAGGAGCACGTGACCCAGGAGCACGTGACCCAGGAGCACGTGACTTAGAAGGAGCTCACTGTGATAATACACCATCTTCTCCATTTCAGTTAACCAGTACACCTGTACTAGTAGGAGCAGGAGAGTCAGATTTGTTCTTATCTTCCATTGAGTCCTCTCCTCGAACCTGAACAGTTTAATTAAAACAGGTGCTATGGTAATATATATAGTGACATATAGTAATATATAGTAATGGTAATATATATAGTAACACATAGTAATTACTGAGCACAGAATGTAGAGATTATTGCAATACTGTTACATGTTCCTCACCTTGATACCATGTTTCTCCTTGAAGTCAACTAATTCCTTTTGTTTTGACTCAAGAGTTTTGTCCATGGTAGTTATGAGAGTGTTTATCTTAGAAGCATTATTCTCAAGGTTTGGTTGCACTTGTCCTACTGTCCGTTCCATCAACACACCACCAACTAGCTGGTAACATCTGCACAACAAGTTAGCTCTAGTTTAGTTGCGGTAGCTCAATTAAGAGAGCAATCATCTGTAAAATCGCATCAGGTCTAAAATTGTACATGTGAAATAACTGAACTAATTTAATGACATACTTGCGTGTTGGTTCGTTTACATCCTTTAGAGCATCAATCACCAATTTGTGCTCCGATTCCTCCAACTTCAACTCACTCATCTTTTGTGCTACCATTCGTTGTTCCTGTAAAATTCAAAGAATCACACATTACGAAATCTTTATTAAATACATTTAATGTCTAGCAGTTCAACTGTTTGGATAAATATAATGCGTTAGTCTTAATCGCCATGACTCTTTAACAGTTAGTGTTAATTTATATAGGTTTACCTGGCGCAATTTGTTAAACTGCTGAAGAATGACCTCCTGGTTCTTTCTCTTCTGGTCTGCCATGTCTGTGAGTGTAAATATTTGTTTTAATCACTATGAGTAATTTCACAATACAATAGGTTTACAATGGATTATGCAGCATGCTGTGCAGCAGACTTTTTCATTATTTTAACAATAGTTCTGTAGGTACTTACAATTTACAGGACTAAAAATATCAAGCACTTGATTCACATTGGTACACAGTATGAAATATACTCAATAACAAATAAAATGGTGTAATCTGTTCCAAAAAAAAGTAAACTTACTCTATTATATAGTACAAAGCTGTAAAAACAAAGCAGTAGAAACATAAATATTTCAAATAATTTTTCTTGTGAGATTCAAATAGCCACCCTCTCACATTATTACTTACTGTAGTAAGTTAAATTGTACCACGAATTAAAAAGCCTAATAAATCAAAAAAATGATAAAAAACCAATACATCTATGCCCTAGAGTCAACTTTAGCACTGTCATTCAAAATCAAATAGTAAAATAAATTGAACTTAAAACATATAAATGTTGATTAAAAATCATAAATTTGGCATGTAGTTTGTGTAGCTATCAATAAAACCGTTCTGTAGACTCATTTTTCATCACACGCACACACAACACAAAGGATTAAAAACGGAAAATGTTGATCAGGGCCATGATACAGCAGATTTTTTAAATTTAGGTTGCACATAACTTGATACAGTGACATCCTCAGAAAATTGTACTCTTTTCAAATTGGGCCTTGATTCCTTATCAACAGAAGACTTCACACAACTTAAAGGTTTGGAAAGTTCACTACTTTGTGCAGAATTGACTCCCTCATCTGTTGATTCTGCAGAACTAATTCCTTTCTTGGTTAACGTTTTTACTTCTTTGACAACAGAGTTATTTCTGACAAACTTAATACGCTTAACATTTGTGCTAACCGGGGAATCTGCATTAGTTCTCTTGTTTTTTAAGTTGGAATTGAAGCATGGCCTTTGAGATTTTGGAACTACATGCTCACAATAAAGCATTTTCAATTCTCTGATATCTGACGTAGAAATAGATTTCACCCCAATCATCTCTAAAGCTTTTAGATAATCCCCAATATTCATCATTTAAAGGTTGAGCACCATTCTGTTTTACATTAGCTATGTCCCATCATGTCAACCAAATGTGGTTATCTACAGATATTTTTTGTTAATGTAAATTTGTGAAAATGTGTACAGATACATACAAAAAGAATAATTATACACATCATGTTACTAAAGAAAAGATCTTTGCAGCTTAAACCTTAAATCAATTGTACATGGGATACATACTTCAAACTTTGAACTAACTTATGAATGTATATTGATTGAAATAAATTTTCGTGCACATACAGAATGAATGGTTAATAATTTAATATATATGTAGACCAAGCTCTGTGCACGGGATGCTTCCTGGAAGAATCCAGTTCTTTTAGCAGGGCACCCTACCTAAAGCCAAATTGAGATATAATAATCATATTCCTAGGAAAATAATCAGAAATCGAATACCAATCAAATAATATGATATATAGGAGTAGTAACCATATTTACTATGCAAAATGCCCCAACCACATAGTGTAAATTTATATAATATTCAAATTCCATATCATCATTAAACCTCAATAGTCAATATAATAGCCCAAGCAAAATTAAATAACTTCTTATATACGATACCTTACTGTCATACTACAAATTAATTAAACATTTGAATCTGTTAACCAGAGGACGTGTTCAAACCTGGTTGGTGGTTTTGTTACATTTTCCCACTCTTTACTTCTGGGCCCCCAGATTGAAATCTGTAACATTTTAAGAAAAACTGAAACTACTGACAAAAACTAGACCCTTTGACTAAGGGCACCCTTGAATCAGAATTTTTGTAACATATTCAGGTCCTGAGATATAGCAGTTTAGTTGGGGGCCCTGGATATTGAATTTTGTAACACATTTCTATGTTACACTTTTTCAATGAGTTTTTAGAGAAGCTTCTTGATAGTTTTTCAAGTTCAGACCAGTTTTTCTAGGTCACAAAGTGTTCCATCAACCATATTCTTGACCAAATTTTGTACTTGGGCCCAAAACATTGAATTCTGTAACATATTTATGTTTTCACTGCCAAGGTCATATCTGGAATATTCAATATATTTTTGTATTGGTAACATTGTTTTTAGATTCTCATACAAAATTCTGAAGCAATCCTTATTCGTATAATTTGATAAAATGGCTGCGGAACTTGAATAATGTAACATTAGAAAGTAAGTGTATAGAGTATGTACCCTAGTGTGAGGGGTGTTAGGTAAGCTTTATTATAGTTTTTGAAGTTCAGACCAGTTTTTCCAGGTCACAAAGGGTTCCATCAACCATATTCTTGACCAAATTTTGTACTTGGGCCCAAAACATTGAATTTTGTAACATATTTATGTTTTGACTACAAAGCTCATATCTGGAATGTTCAATATATTCTTGTACTGGTAACATGGTTTTTAGATTCTCATACAGAATTGTAAAGCAATCCTTATTCATATAATTTGATAAAATGGCTGCGGAACTTGAATAATGTAACATTAGAAAGTAAATTTATAGAGTATAGTATATAGTATGTATCCTAGTGTGAAGGGTGTTAGGCAAGCTATATTATAGTTTTTGAAGTTCAGACCAGTTTGCCTAGGTCATAAAGGGTTCCATCAACCATATTATTGACCATATTTTGTACTTGGGCCCAAAACATTGAATTTTGTAACGTGACCTGACATTTTATTGTTACAAATTTCAATATATAGGGCCCAATTTCTATTTTCTATACAATTTGATATATAAATTAAACATTTTTAAATATCCAACCTTTAATCTAATTAGTTATATTCATTTGATTAAATTTACCGCGTTCTGTTGTAAATTTAAATTACATTACATTTAAATTGTTACAAAATTCAATAATTTGGTCCCAATTATCATTTTTTAAATTTGTTAAGTTGTTTCATGTCTTTATTATAATGCATCAACCAACTTAACACCAATACTAGATCAAACAACTCTGTATAACATACTCATTTGTAACCATGTTACGTTATTCAAAGAAATGGGCCTTTTAATGATTATGAACCATATACCAAGATTGTGGTAATGCCTTTATACAAGAATTGCTGCACTAATAACCTGGTTTTAGAGTTAAATACATATCCTACACTAGCTGTGGTTGTAACAAACTATAAAGATATCATGAAAACAAGATGTTACAAAATGTCCATTTTGGGCCTTTTTATGAACTCAAAAGTGGGCCTTTTTTCATTCCACAGCTAAGCAAATACCTAAAGTACATTTTTGTGAAGCAAAAATCTTTAGAATTTAAAAATTGGCTGAGCCATTGAAAAGTGTAACCAAATGTTACATTTTTCAATATAACTGGGCCATTTTACAATATTATTCATAGCCGATGACCTGACACTATTTGTTATGACAATTATAATCATATCTGAAAGTTTCAAGACCATCGAGTAATTATTAATAGAGTTATTGTAAAAATGAGAAAATCGCCCATTTTGGCAGTGTAACAAAACCACCAACCAGGTTTGAACATGTCCCAGAGAATAAATTTCTAAACCTAATGCAAGTGAAATAATTTAACTGGTTATAACTAAGAGTACATTCTACAGTGAAATTTGAACATAAGTCAATATGTAGATAGTTTAATGTACTTAGTAAAACAAAATTTTTAGTAAAACAAAATTTAAATTTTATTGCCATTACAATGAATAATGATATCATAATAAATATAAGTAGACATCCGATAATAAACTTGTTACATCCAGTACAACCCAAGATGTCAGCCGACGCGACTTACAAAAATAAAGAAAGCTAGCATACTATTTTATATTGTATATAATTTTACGGACGAAATGATCCCAGGGGGAATCCCAACCCACCGCTTTGGTGGATAGTTGATGTACTGTTCACAAGCAAGAGCCACTTTGGTCTATCTGCTCTGAGGTGTCTCAGCTACACACAGGAGGACTATAGTGCAAAGAAACTGCTGCTAACTGCTGCTCACTGCTGCTCACTGCTGCTCACTGCTGTGAGCAGCAGTGAGCAGCAGTTTCTTTGCACTATAGTCCTCCTGTGTACATGGGTTGGGGGTCTCCCCTTTTATTCAAAATCATTTATAATAGTTGTTCCGTCGAGAGAACACAATCAAATTGGTTGTACTTTCGCAGGAAGTATAGCACGCGCCGAATATTATTGTAATTAATTATACAATAACATAGTCCCATTACAATGCACCTTGCGAGATAAAACATATTAAAAAAGGGTTAAATTATTGTTATTCAGCTTCTTATACAAAAATATTTATGATAATAAATGATGGGGCAAGGCTCGACATAGCAGCTAGAGGTTTGTGGTCACCAATGGAGATAGCATTTTTTGATATTAGGGTTTTACACCCCGGAGCCAAATACAACGCTAATCACAACACCCCAGCAAAGATGTACAGCAAACATGAGAGAGAGAAAGAAAGGAAATATGGAGACCGCTGTGTACAGATTGAAAAAGGAACCTGCAATGGCCTTGTATTCTCGACCACCGGAGGTATGGGCCCACAGGCTACCATGTTCCTTAAACGAGTAGCAACACTTCTGGCAGCCAAGACCAGCCAGGACAAAAGCCTCATTGTGGCAAATCTAAGACGTCGTTTGCGGTTTGAGCTACTTAAGACAGTATACAAGGAATACAAGGAATACAATAGGAATACAAATTTAAAATCTTAAGCTACAATAGTAACTGTTAAGATAATAACAATATCATAAGATTTGAATTTATTATATTAATATAACTTAAACTAAAGTGAAACATAAATATTTTGTTTACAATCGCCTTGGTAATGCTGTAATGCTTGAGCCAGGCCACTTTGCACTCGTTGTTGCGCGAAAAGAAACAAAAGCGCTGGTACAGTGATTTTCAGTGTTCATGTACTGGCCAGAGAGTCGACGAATTTCTTGCGGTTGTTAAAACACGTAGTGGCAAATCTA